AAAAAAAAAAAAAAAAAAAAAAAAAAAAGACGCTGGACTTTAGTAGCCCAATCTAAAGAAGGGATCAGCAGTAACGACACTGACACCTGCTGAGAGCTTCCTGGGCACCCAGACTGTCCTGGCCAGTACAGTTCAATAGGGACGACTGCCACAGCCATTCACGGAGAGGGAAACTGAGGGCGGGGGCTAGGACTCACAGCCCACTTCTTCGCCCAGACTCCAAGAAATGGCCTTGTAGAGAGGGCGGACTGGTCCTGTGTGGAGCTGATGTCATGAATAAGCCTAGTGTCTACTGCCCCCAAATAGGGCCTGCCATGGAGCCTGAGCATATGCTAGAACTGGGAGTGTGGCAAGCAGAGGCCCAGTCTGGGCACAAGTACATCAGGGCTTACCTTAGCTCTTTTAGACTTGGGCTCCCAGCAGCCCTGATGCCTGGGCAGGGCTGGCCGTTGTACTCACCTCTCAGCAGGGCTGAGGACCACAGCTGCACGGACATGTCTGGGATCTTGCTGGCCAGCTGCATGGCAGGCACCACCATGTTGTTACTCTCCTGTTGACCGAGAGCAGCCAGGGAAGGGCGTGGGGATTGGGACCAGTGGTAGGGACAGCCCAGCACCCACCCACCACCCCCAGCACAGCCTGGGCTTGTGCTGCTGCCTGGAAGGCTCCTACTCCTACTTCAGAGCCCATCTCAAATGACCTCCTCTGATGTACTCTTCAACCGCCTCAGGAGAAAATGAACTGCACCCGCTCTTCCACTCTCATGGGGGCGCTGCTGGCCCTGCACGAGTCTACGTGCCTTTGTCTCTAACCATAGCACCAGAGGTAGTCAGCCCTGGACCCAGAACAGAAGCCGGTTAGAAATGCACATTCAGGGGCGCCTGGGTGGCTCAGTGGGTTAAAGCCTCTGCCTTCGGCTCAGGTCATGGTCCCAGGGTCCTGGGATGGAGCCCCGCATTGGGCTCTCTGCTCAGCAGGGAGCCTGCTTCCCTTACTCTCTCTCTGCCTGCCTCTCTGCCTACTTGTGATCTCTGTCAAATTAAAAAAAAAAAAAAAAAAAAAAAAAAAGCACATTCAGAGACCCCGGGGGGTGGCCTGGGAGGAGGAAGCAGTCTGCCCTGGTGGGGGTGAGGAGGGCTGAACAGATAGGGGGAAGAGGCAGGGCAGTGTCTCTTCTACATACAAGCCCACTTTCATGGGAGGCTACCTGACACGTGGTGCTGTGGGACACCAGGCCACGCTAACTCTCCAACCCCGACTGTGTGACTGCATAATGCCGCCCCCCTTAATCCTTAGGATGTGCTGAGAGGGGGCGGGGGGACCTCAACACCCATTCCTGACCCCATGATGACTGGCAGCACTGTTCCGACCCTGCTCAACCTGGGGACAACAAACTCTGCTGGCCTGGATGCAGGATTCAAGGTGACAGGGGAGAACTCCCAGTGCAGCAGCCACTGGCAGATACCCACACATAGCCGAGAGATTTGTAAACCCTCCAAACCAGCTCCCGAGGCCTAGCTTCAACACAGGCAGGACTGTGTTCAAAACACAAAAGTGCAATGACTTCACACTGCCCCACAGCAGGCACCTCAAAGATGAGCTCCAGGTGGGTCTCCAAGCTTTTCAGAATTGAATAAAGTCTTTCCAAGACCTCAGAATGCACAACAGAACACGAAAAACTACTCTTCTCCTCGAGGCCTGGGGTTGGACCTCTGTCTGGAAGCTGCCAGGAGAGGTCCCTGGCTCTCTTAGGCAGGCTCCGCCATGCTAGCTTATGGCCCCATAGAACCTGGTACAAAGATGTGTGATCCTGAGAGGTAGCCTGTGTGTGGGCTGCTCGCAAACATAGCCGTGGGCCATCAAGCCTTCGCAGGCTCAGGAAGAGCTGGCTCTATCTCCCTCAGACCTGGAGCTGCTCGAGGCCAGGCTTAGGCCTGAGGGTTCTTGGCGCCCCCATGTCACTCCAAACAGGCCCAGACACACGAGGGGCAGTGGAAGTTCCTGAATGAGCTCTGTAAGATGCCCTGGGATCAACCCAAACGTGAACCAGAGCTGCAGCTAAAAAGCTGGTTTGCTTCCCCTGACCCATTCAAGGTGGCTTCGAGAGACCACTAGACAAATGAGAGCTAGGGAGTCTGGCTCTATGCCTGGGTCTGCAGTTTGGGGCTCTGTGACCTTAATCTCCTCAGCTGGAAAACAGGAGAACCACATCCACCACACCGAGACACGAAGTGGGCAGCCCACACTCAGCAGGGCCTCATGTTGAGCCCTGGTTCCCATCTGGCCCCCGGACACACAGACCACTGTTCCCAAGTGTGCTCAAAGGCTAAGGAACAGGGTGACAGGGTATTCTAAAAGGAGCACAGCTGCACTCTGAAGGAAGAACCCAAAGCTTGTCCTCTTCTTTTAGGGGTGGTGAGGTCCCTCGTGTTCAGGCCCTGGCCACAGTAAGTGCTTGTCATGTGACTATGGGGAGGGGGACGTGCCAAGGTTGTAAAAAATGCTCACTCTCAGGGTCTGATCAGATAAAAGTCCATGGGCCAAGACACGGACCCCACGTTAGTTAAAGAGAGGCTGGCTGAACTATGAAGCACAGGCTACTTTGAAATTCTTGCTGCCTGCCACTGGAGAAAACTCTCACCCAGTGGTACAGAGAAAGACAAGATACCAAATTATGGAACAGACTGGAAAACAAAACCTATGCATAGGCAGAGATGGGTACGGGAAAGAGCCAGAGGACACACAATCGTTTTCTTTTGTTTCTCATGCCTTCTATGACGAGCTTTATCCTATTATATAAGGTGAACCAAAACTATCTTACAAAACAGCCTTGAGAGGCCGAGGGGTAAGAGCAGGCGAGCAGGTAAGTGCACACCCCGGATTCCCCATCTGACTCAGAGACCTGAAGTCGGCTGATCCCACTGGGGACCAGCCCCAGGGGGCCATTCTAGGTAAGTGTGAAAACACAGGGTGCCATGAGGACAACACTGTGTGTGCTGGGCAAAATGGAGCCCAAGGGATCTGGCTGAGACGACACACCTCTCTGCCCCCAGCTATTAACACACAGAAAGGGGAACCTGCCCTCAACCCTGCTGGCTCTGGACAGCCTGTGGGACTCCGCCTGACCACTGCCTGCAGTGGCACCCGGCCTGTCTGCCACACAGACCCACCCTCCAGGGTCCAAAGCTCCTCTTCGCCCCCCGCCCCCCCACCCAGCCTCATGGAGCAGTGGGGAGGTTACTGAGATAAGGTCACGGAGGGGCACAGGATACAAACTGCTGCTAGGTGGTACACAAGCGCCGTGCTGGTCCCCTCTCGGCCCAGCCCCGGGCACTCACTCTGTGGTTCCCCAGCACATAGAAGATGTGGCCCAGGAGCACAAGGGAGCAGGCTGTGAGCCGGTTCAGGTCCTCTGCATTGGACATCTTCAGAGTTTCTCGAAGAAATCGCCTATGTGAGAACAGACGCTGAAGGCCCATCGGACGCCTTATCAGTAGGAAGAGGCTGCAGCCACCTCAAGGACCTGAGCACATGCTGTCAGGGAGCAGAACCACCCGGAGGGCCAGCCCAGGAGGTGCCAGGCAGGGGCAACCTGTCCTCTCCCCATACTCACTTGGCCTCATTATAGCGTCCCTGGAAGAAAGAGAAGAGTCCGCGCACGTAGAAAGCTGCTGCTCGCAGGCAGTGTGAGCTGATAAGAGAGACGGGCACACTTTGGTGGTGTTTTTGGGAGTGCAGCAGGCTTCCAAAGGGGAGTGAGAAGAGAGGGGCGAGAGGCATCGGGGACACAGGGCGGATGGGTCCCACGAGCACTGGTGCCACCCCGTGAGCAACGAAAGCGTGAAGACAACAGGTCCGGTGGGCACTCAGCTCTTGGGCTGCCTACCTGACAGGGAAGCTATGGTCCGGATTGATCCTTTCCAACAAACTGTATAGCTGTGGCAGAAATGTCAGTTAGGATCGTTTTGCATTTTGAAACACAGGAAAATTCAGCCTCAAATTCACCACTAAATTTGACTAGGGCTGCTTGCATCTTCCCAACCTGAGAGCATCACGCCCTCACTCCGAATCCCATGCCTGAGTAACCTAAGTGGGGAGTGGGGTCAGGACCTTCGAGGACAGGTGTGGACACTATGGAGACTGCATGGAGCTGTTTACTTCCTAACCGCCCCCCCCCCCCCGCCACCTGATGGCAATCATGGCCTCCAGCGTGAGGAGTTAAGGTTGGGGTCCTCACGGCCTTAGCCTGCCCCACATCAGAGGGGGCTGGGCGGTCAGGGCAGTGGCTCAGTCTCAGCCTTTGTATGGTCAGAAGAGCCCAGTGTGGGGGAGCGCGGTGGGAAGACCGGCCCACATGGGTCTTGTGGGCTGGGGGTTTATCTGGAGGTGCAGGAATCCTGGGAGGCTCTGATAGGCAGCCACGGAACTGACGTTCTAGGTCTCCTCTGGCTGCCAAGGAGGAAGGAGGGGGAAAGGACATGGCTAAAGTGAGCTGAAGCTGCTTCCAGTGTCCCCACAGTACCTCCAGGAGGCAGACACTGGGAAAGCAAAGACACACGGAAGACAAGCTCTCCCGTGACCCATCAAGTGTGACCCACAGAGCCCACTCCTAGCCCTAGACGACACTGCCCATCACTTCCTAACTGCTGGAGCAGACAAGGCTAGGCCTTCTGCTCCCCGGAGCCCAATGCATCCAAACCCAGAAGTTGGGAGGTCAGCTAACCTTTCTCTAAACTAAAATAAAACGAAAGAAGGTGGAACAGCAACTAAATCTCGATACTCTGGAGGCAGGAGGCTAGGGCTGGGAGTGGGTAACCCTAGGGCTGAGAGGGCGCCCAGGGCTGAAGGGAATCGTAGGGCTGAGGGTTGCACAGGGAACCTGGTGTGAAGCACCTGTCCTCCAAGGACAAGCCCTGCTGGAAGGTGAAACTCTGGGGCTGCTGAGATCTGCTGGTGCCCAGGACCACCCCAAACCCACCTCCCCGAATAAGAGTTGAAAAGATACCAAACATGAAGCATGTCACCTACTACCTCTTGGTGTCTATTTCCTTCCCGTATATACACACTCGCCAGATTGGTCACGATGAAGGCCCACAGCTCCTGGTGGTTGGTGAGCTAGAACGGGACACATGGGCATTAGAGGGCCAAGCCGGGCATAGCCCCATCACACTGGGGCCACTCAGTGGCAGCTGAGCCACCCAATCCTCCAGGGCAGCTAATCTGGAATCATGCTTTTTCTTTCCTTTCAGACAGATCCCCCAACCTGCCTCCCAGACCCCAGAAGCATAGAGCTGTTAGCTCTCTTTACTGTAAAACCGTCCTCTACAATAGGAGAAACTTAGGAAACAGAAAAGGAAAATCAGCTGCCCCTGATCCTGCCCTGAGAACACACTACACTTCAGTCTCTTTTCTGCTTGTTTCCCAAGACTGAGACCCAGACAGCCCCTCCCTCCACGTCACAAGCATTGTCGCCTTCGACCCCAGGGTGGGCTGACACAGCAGAGGCCTGTGCTGGCCCTGGGAAGGATGCCGCCAGGAGGGTAACAGAGGCTGCTGGGCACCACAGACGCTGCTCATAGCTGCTGGTGGGTGGACCACTGTCCTCAGTTCTTGGGAAATGAGGACGGTCGAGCGAGAGTCCAATCTGAGCAGCCCGAGCAGTATCCGGATCCTGGTTCCTAGCAGGGCTGAGTGAGCACAGCTGTGCAGGAGGCTGGGGCTACCTAGGAAATGCAGCCCCCCCCCCAGGACCCCAGCATGCACTGAGGGGGCCCAGGAGGTCTTCTGCTGTGAGCATCATGCTCTGGTCTGTTTGTTGTAAGACCACAGGAAGAGCACGTGTCTAGGACCGGGGTCTGAGCGCGTATCCTGGCTGCACCACTTCCCACATGGCCTGTAGGAGCACCGTGTGGGGAGAGTGCCTCCCCTGAGGCACACACCATCAAAGCAGCAGCAGCAGCAGCCCCTTGGGGCACGTTGAGATGGGGAGGCTCACAGCCACGGGGTAACTGCAGGGAAGAGGGCAGCCATGTGTGGGTGTCCCAGTACCACTGCAGCTAGTAGTGTGAGCCTCCCAGGGCCCAGAGGAGCGGGCAAGGACGAAGAGGCTCAGAAGGCCATGCAAGTGGGTCCCCCGCCCACTCTTCAGACTCTGGCATGCTGCCAGAGGCTCCTCCGTGTTGTCAAGACCAACGACGGGGCTGGCAGCATCACGAGCCACACGGAACGTCTCAGAGGAGCAGTTATGCCGCTGAGCCCAACCCCAGGAGCAAAGAGATCTGGAGAGTAGCACAAGGGGACAGAGCAGAACTCCTCATCTGACAGGGTGCAAACTGCCCGCCCCCCCCGCCCACCTCTGCTTGCGCCCCCCCTTCCGGACCCTGGGGGGAAGGTGTTGCCAGCCTCCTTTTCCTGTGGGGACACCAAGGCCAAGGTCGGGATGTGCTTATCTGGTCCTAGAACACGACAGGCAGAACCGAGACCTGGCCCCGGGCTATCAACTCCCAGGCCTGGGGTGGCCCTGTCCAAGGGGACGCACCAGCTTCCTCCCCGGGCCTGTTGCGATCCTGTCTGAGGCGAGGACGTTGCCCCAGCAGAGCTCCTTTATGACCCCCCAGGGCAATCAGCCTGCCGCAGTGTGAGAGCAGACCCAGTATGGCTTCGGGGGTGGCTCCAGGGAGCCCCAGAGCCCTGCCGAGGGACTCTGCATCTTCAGCTATAACAGGAGCCAACACCAACCCGCAGGTTATCAGGAAGGCTAGGAACTGGGAGTGAAAGCAGCTGAACAGGTTGTGGCACCAGTGGGCACCGGGCTCTCCCTGATGGCGGCCCTCCAGGTTCACCCCACCCCAGGCTGGCCAAAGGCCTCCTTGCCCACAGCTATCCCTCGTCATACTTTGCTGCCAGCGCTGGCCTTGCCGCGGAAAGGCCCGGATAAACGGCATGTCACTGCCACGGCCGGCGTCAGGCTGAATGCTGCAGAGTCACCCACAGAGCACGGTTTTGTGCAGAGGTTGTCCTCCTCACAGACCGTGCCCAGCTCCTCACTGAGAAGCAGCGCCCGCCCCCTGCAGCGAGCGCCGGCACCTTACCCGCAGCGCTGTGGTGAACTGGGCTTCCGCATTGTCCATGCAGTTGACGGAGACGCAGTACAGGCCCTGGAAGGAGGAAGCACGGAGGGCCTGAGGCCACGCAGACTGCCCAGGGCTGCACGACTCGACAAGTGACTGCTGAGCTGGCTACCTCTGTGCTTTACTCCCGCAAAGGGGCATAAAGATGGCATGCTTAATGATTCCCTCCTCCTGGGACCCAACTCCACTCCGACTTCAGATGTTTCTCAGAATACGCCCACTGGAACCATTCTGGGTCCCGCCTGGGGCAGCTGTCATGGGATTTCTCGATGGAAGGGGGTTGGGGGTGGGCAAGCCCGGGCACTCACCAGCAGTGTGTGCAGCTGTGCCGCGTGGTTGGAGAAGAGCCGGGGGGACTGCTGGCACAGCTGGCAGACCTGGGAGATCTGCCAGGAAAGAGCACGCTCACCATCACGAGGTCTCTATGGTGGCACCCGGTGTCCCAGTGGCCTTCGGGAGACCCCTAAAGCTGACAGGTGTGCCACAAAGTCCCAGAAGATGCATCTGTCACAAGGGCCAAGTGCAGCCCTGACCTCCTTGAGAACAATGACCCTTGTCCATTACTCCCACTTCACCCTCCTTTTCTAACATGGGTCTCAGCCGCACAGCACCTTACCCCTACTCAGGGCCCCCCCCCACCCTCTCAAGAAGGTAAACATCAGAGAGTATGGACTGGGGCAGGAGGAATGTTAGGATCACTGTCAGGGAACCCCAAATCCTCAAACCCTGTGTTCTTGGGGTATGCAAACTTTTAGGGAAGGAGCACTGATTTGTCACATCCATCGGGGTCGCGAACTAACAAAGTATAGTGAAATGACAAGTTCAGATGTTCTGTTGCCACACACTGGGCAAATTTACACTTTCCCACGGACGACTTCTGAGACCCAGCCAGCTCCAACCGCTCTCCCACCCACGCGCGTGGCCTCTGGCGGCATTACCTCCTGCAGCGCGGTGGCCTTGTGTCCCGTGACAAGCCTGCACATGATGATGTGCTCCAGCAGGATGACTTGGAAGGAGGACAGGATGGGGCTGCAGTCAAGCACTGGGGGCGAGAGGTGGGGGTGAGCACTCAATGCACAGTTAGAGGAGACCCGAGGAGACGGACACAGAGCCTCCTCAGGACTCTGCGTCCTTCCACCTCCTGCCACACTGGCCCCTCATGCAGCTCCAGCTGCATGAGGTTGCTTAGGCTGCCAAGGCCTAAGCCCATTTGCTCTGTGGGGAACGAGCTCAGCACCAGCTCTGTCACCTCTGTCGGTGCCACTGCACCCTAGAGTGAGGGGTTCATCTCCCCATCCAGGCAGGAAGACAGGCCCAGAGCCAGGTTTTAGTGACTAGAGTGTTCTAAGAGGAAGAAATTCCCGGAGAGATCCGCCTTCCATCCTCACTCCACTGTGACCCAGGGACATGCTCCACAGCACTCTGCACACAGTGGGTTCTAGAAATGCTGCAGGAGCCCAGGAGAGTGCAAATGAGCAACAGGCCCCAGGCAGCAGTGAGGGAACCCAGCTCTTGGCTTCCCTGAAAGGCTGTCCTCATACTGGAGCCAGACGGCGCCCACAGCCCTTTCCCAGCTCATCTGGAGGGAGAGAACCACCATCCCCGTGGGCTTCGGTTCTCCAGTTCTGAAGGCTCCACCCCCAGCAGCACTGATGAGGGCACAGGATTATCAGGGGTGCTGAGCCAGCCAGGGACACGGGCGGCTCTGCGTTCCTACTAATCAAAGGTCCCTGGTCCCACAGGATGGATTAGTTGAGCTTCTAGGAAGAACCCACGACCTCCAGAGGACCTATTGCTAGTCCGGGAAATCTGAGTTCCAGTCCCAGCCTCACCTGGCGTGATCCATGTTACAACACTGAAAGCAGACTGCAAAAGCAGCCACCATCAGTTTGAACTGAGCACTGCTGTACCAACAGGCCCAGCTTGGGACCCACTAACCCTCATAGCCATCTTGAGCAGTGAGGGGATAGGACAGAGATGGCACAAGAGCACTTCTGGCCTAGGATCGAGGATCAAGCCTAGGCTTGGCCTGGTCTGCTCCAAGCCGAGACTGCTCCCATCTTCCAACTGGGTTAACAAGACCCACAGGGTGGGGGATTCATGGTGACTGCTCAAGGCTGCTGTCATTCTGGGTTTTCCAGGCCAACACAAGAGGTGGCACTCAGGCCACCCACCAGGGGGCGCTGTGACTACATGACCGGCCAAATAGAGTCTAGCAACCACCCGCCCCAGACTTACTCTTGAGCTTCTCCAGCTGCATGAGCGCTTTGTCTGTGTACTTCTGTGCTTTCTCCAGGTAGCCGGCCTGCATGGAGTGCATCACGGTCACCTGGCGACAAGACCAGACAGCGGTGGTCACTGTGGTCCTCCTCTCCCCGCTGCAGCCGCCATGGCCCCCATTCCCTGGAGACTCACCAGGTAGACGAGCACACACATGTGCTCCTTGGGCAGCCAGTGGAAGAGGTCGGCGGGGTTGCTGGGCAGGATCTCATCATCGTGCAGCGTGGAGATGGTCTGGATGCACTGCTGCAGCTGCTTCAAGCACGGCTTCACACTCTTCACCTGCAGTGGGCGAGCAGCGCCACGCAGCTGACGGGCTGCCGACTCCCACCGGGGCCAGGCCCCTTAGCATACGAGGCCCCCATGGGGCAGCTAGCCACGTCCTGCCTGTCCAGTCACCTCCCAGGCCCTTCCTCCCAGGAGCTCCTGCTATGCTCACTGCCTACAGGAGGCCCCCCGCAGCCGATGGGTCAGCCGGCTCTTGCGGCACAGGGTTGGGCCAGGGAGGTCATCTGGGGAACTGAGACTTCGCCACCACCCACTTTTGGGTCAAATCCCAAGGCCCGAGAGAAGCCTGTTCAAAGACCCTGCTCGAGCCATGTTCCTTCTATGCTATAGTGACCCCAGGAGAGGAGAGTAGGGCTGGGGCTGCTGGTTATCCTGAGGGTATGAAGCAGCTCCCTGGGAGTCCTATAGGTGCCATGGTTTGTACAGACTTGCCTCTCTACACTGGGAAGCCCTGTCCCAAGGCCCCCCAGGCCACCTCTGCAGCCATCAGCTCAGCACGAGAGTCTGCTCTATACTCCTGTGTGTCGAGTGTGGTGTTTAGCCCAACAGGCACAGCTGGGTGCAGATGGGGGAACAGAGGAGGCCCCTTACCAATCAGACACCCACTAGGCTCTACCTGTGGCCTCCCTGCACACCAGAGAAGTCCTGCCTGTGGCTGGTCACTAGGCCAGGGCAGGGGAAGTTGGATGGAGCGGCACCCCCAAAAGGCTGTGGTGCTCTCGCACACACAGAAGCACCTGCTGCTCAGCCCCACGGGGGTTACAGTCTACATCCAGATACAGCTGATCCTGTTGGTCCCTTCTCAAACTCCATAAAGCTGTCACCAGCTGGGGGATGGTGATCAGACACGGCCGGAGCACCTGCTCTGGGCCAGGCACCAGGCCACAATGCTCACTGTATTCTCATGGATTCCACAAACTGCCTTGAGATGCCTTCAGCCATCCACGCTCTGAGCACACATCTGTACCACCACTATCCCCTCCATGATGCTAGGACAAGGAGACCCCTATTCTCCAGTGCCCTCTGCCCATGGGGACAAAGCACTCATACCAGACCATGACAAGGTGTGTAGGGAAGGCTGAGCCTCTAATGATAGACATATCATGTGGCCAGTGACAGGAGACAACAGCAGAAGTGACGTCTTGGCCTAAAGCCCGCTCACAGCCTGCCCGTTCCCCAACAGTCCTTGGGTGGGAGGCACTACGTACCTGTCCAGCATCCAAGTAGTGGGTCACCTGGAGGACCAGGAAGAAGACACGCAGAGACTCCTTCTGGATGGGATTCCCTTGCCAGTTCTCAACTATCTGTCCACAGAGGGTCAGCAGCGGGTGCACTTCCTGTAACTTGCGCTCCATCAGCAGCAGCTGGGGAGGGATGCATGGGTGCTGGGAGCACTTCTCAGTGCCCAGATCTGCCCCCCGCCAGGGGACCACCAGCACTGTACAGAGAGAGCACAAAACTAACCCGGGGCTTCTTCTTCCTTAGCACAAATCCCTGGAATCAGAGTTTCATTCTGAACCCAGCAGGGACACCAGAGCCTCACCCTTGCTACAGCCTGCTGTGTATGAGGGTCAGGGACCCTAAGAGGCTACACTGCAGCATGTGAGCGGGGCCCGGCCTCAAGTCCTCCAAACCAGCCCCACTCCACCCAGCCTTGACTTACCATTCCTTTGCTGAGCAGGAATAGGGCTCTGGAAAAGAGAGGGTGAGTCAGTCTGTGAGGCCCTGGAACCTCCCGGGAAGACTGTGCCACCCCAGTGTTCATGGGGACCCAATGTGCAGCAGTCCCTGGTGGTCTCCAGTGAGGTCTGTTTCATAGGCTGTTCTACTTCACCCTGTGTGATCTCTTTTTTGCCTGGTTAGGTGTTCATGAGGTTCAAAAGCCCAGAAGGCATAAACAGGTGCTGAGAAAGTGTGGAGGAGCGGAGTACAGAATGGTAAGCGTGCCACGATCCCAGCCTGGTAGACAGAGTAGAGGGGCTCCTTGTCAGCGGATAGTACTGGGCAAGCGCTGGTGGGAGGCCAGCGCTGCTGCTTTCAGGAGTCCCCGTGGCTGAGCAGAGCCCACTGGCCCCCAGTTTGTTCAAAAGCAAAGTTTCTGTTCCGCCAGTCTTTAGAGAGTGCCTGTGTGCTACAACAGACCCTCCATCAAGCAGTTGCCATTCTCCCCGTCTTCAGGGTGAGGTGGGGAGGTCACAGTCACACAGAACAGATGTCTATGCTCTAGGCCACCACGTCATTCTCCGTTGTTACCTCATGGCCATCGAAACGTAAGGCTGGGAACTTTTTATCAAAGTTCTCACGGTGTCACATGTTAGCACCCTACGTCTGTGGTCAGAGGTTCTGGGCCAAATGACCTATAGCCGCTATGCTCTGCTGGAGCCCACCCAGGCCACCTGTCCTCAGTGGCACAGAGACTTGGCAGGAGACACTCTTGAGTGAACATGTATAGTGTTCAGCTGCCCCCATGCCCTGTGGGGCCTGAGTGGTGCCAGGAACCCAGTGACAGCTGCAGCACAAAGCGGGCAGGAAAGGCCAGGAATGTGGGACCAGTGTGTGTGACAGCCACTGTCTCAGGGCAGGGTGGCCAAGAGTCCAGGACAGCCTGGAGGAAGCTGAGTGGCTCCAGTAGGCACTTTCAAGTCTCAAGTTCAGAGAACAGAGAGGGGGACAGTTTTTTCCCAACAACTCCACGGGCTCAGATCAGCCCCTGTGAAACAAAATGTTCCAGAACCCTAAAGCATAAAACAGAATAAGAGCACCGGTGCCTGGTGCCTGTCTACTGCAGAGCTCTTTAAGAGGTAAAAAAAAAAAAAAAGAGATAGACTGGAGGCCTTCACAGAGGGTACACAGTGAAGCACCAGTGCCCTCTGACCCCTGACCCCAGCGCACCAGTCTCCAGATCTCGGTCTAAGCAGTTCTGTAGGTAACATGAACTCACGTCCCCTCTTCTATATGAACGTCCATTTCCTCTATCTCCTATTGTACATCTAAAGCTCCTCTGTGTCCCCTGAGAGGGGACGCCGGGGCTGCCCGCAGGCACTGCCAAGCACACCATGCTTGCCCTCCGGGGGCACCACTCCTGCATCTGTGCCTCCAAGGAACCAGCCCAGCACATCATATAAGCACTTTTTATCTTACGAGACACTAGATCCATGCAAGCCCCGAGAATGCAGGCTGCCCTCCCCTCCAGTCCACTCTCCCCTCCAACTCCACGAACCAACAGGGCAAGAGACGTCAGGTGCTGCTTTCATCCTCGTGGTTTTTACTCTGTGCAAAAGTGATCCCCGTTTCAAGCCAGAGTGCCAATGCTCTTTGCTTCCCCAGGACCAGACAGCCAGGCCATCTCCAAGTAAGAGGGAGAGGGGTGTGGAGAGAGGGTGCCTACCGTGTGTACTCGGATCCCACCACCCGGGCGTACTCAGCCCCCACGCCCAGGAGGTCGCAGGCTGACACCAGGTCCTTCTCAAGTGTGTGCAGTTGCTAGAAAGGAGAGAGTAATGACACTTGCTTTACAGTACCTAGTACCGGACCTTAGTGCGCTGCCAGTGACTTAAAACTGAACCACACACCTACCAAATTGTTTCAGTGTTAGTTCTGAGGTAAATCAACCAAATCATCTCATCACGTTCACTACTTTGGGCGGAGAACTCTACCTCGTCTACGGTATACCTCATTTAAGCGGGATGGCTCACAGAGGCAGGAGTTAACCCTTAGGGCACAGACCCCCAATACTTTGTGAGTGTGTCACTGTCTTTGGGGGCTAGTCACAAGGGAGGCACCCAGAGGGCCCCAAGTGAGGAGGGACTCCCTCAAGGCTAAGTGTCTGTAGACACTGTGAACAGGAAAAGCTCAACAGGTTCAAAAGCAGGTGCAGGTGCCGGGCCTTGGTCAGGGGTGTTGGCCCCTGCAGGGACCAAGGCAGGTGACTCACAGTCTGGCTGCACAGGCAGGTGACAGGGTTGTCATGGCGTGTGGGCAAGAGCAGCCTGGTAGGCAGGCTGGATCTGAGACAGAAGAGACTGGAGGCCAGCCAACGAGGGGGAGGTGTGGGCAGAGCCCAGAACAAAAGAGGTGTCCCTCACAGTAGAGCATACCTGTCCCCATCCTGACCCCCAGCTGGCAGGCCTCTCCACTGTGGCGAGGAAGGCCCAGCCTAGAAAGCCCACGACCCCTGGAGTGTGTCAGAGCACTATGTTTGCAGAGCTGAAGGGAGGCTGGGCAGGGGACCTACATGGAGCCTGGGCTTGACTTAGACACTCATGACCCAATAGGCAGTCCCCTGGACTCTTAGGTCAACTCATAATAAAACACAGTGGGTCACTGGTAAGAAATGCTCCCCAAATTTACAAGAACACAGGCCAAAGGAAGCACCGGAAGGGAGGAGAACATGAAGACAAGGCCCTGTGTCAGCCCCCATGGGGATGGACACTCCCACCATCACCCTGGGTGCTACCTGGGGCAGGGGGTGTCTTGCAGAGGACAGAGGCTGGTTAGCAGGTAAAAGAAACCTCTCTGTGCCCTCACCCATTCAGTGCAGCAGCCTAAGGAGGGCCAGTGTGTCCTGGAGTTTGTTGTTTGTACTTGGGCGGGCCTGCCGCAAGGTCAGGGCTCCTGCTGAGCACCCATCCTTCTTGGCTAGGCCCGAGGTACTCACAGCGAGCTGGAAGAGCAGGCGGCAGTGCCAGTATGGAGTCTGCTGTGAGATCTGGATCGCTTTCCGCAGCAGTGGCTTTGCTGCGTCTACGGAATTCTGAAAGGAAGCAGTCAAGTTTGGGAAGGAAAAAACAAGCCGGCAAGCAAGCTGGATTCCTTATGGAACAGCTGCGGCACCAGAAGGCCACTCCTGTTCACGCTCACCACAAGATTTGTGGGTTGCCAATTTACTTTATTAATAAAAGAGAAGATTTATTGGACTCACTGGTTGAGAAGTTTTTGCATTACTCTTAAAATAACTCCACATTCAATTAAACTGAAAAGTAGCTTTAGCCCAAAGTTTTGAACAGTCAAATTAGACAACAAATTGCCATCTTCCCTGTTCTGCAACCAGAGAGAGGGGCCAGGGATATGAAGGAGGCACCCCCTGCTACCCAGGGAGCCTCACATGTGGCTGCTTAAAGAAAGGAAAAGTGATTTTCAGCTATGCTTGAGATCAGGAACCAGGTTAAGAAGGCATATGGATTTGTTTAGAAATGAATCGCCCAGAACCTAGGAACACAGCTATTTTTCAACAGTCTTTGATGGAATGATTTTGCTGGCATTCATAGCAAGTGATGACCCATGGATGCTCTATTCCAGGGCATGGGAGGTAGAAAAGGGGAAGTAGTAAAAGCCAGAAGGGAGTCCACTTCTGAGAGCCCCAATTTGCCATTGTGCCTTTGCTATGGGGAGAGTCACTTTGCTTTCAGAAACCTTCATGTGCTCTTACCTCTTGACAGTATAACTCAGACAAGAGACTTGCTGCTTCAAATTTAACATCTTCGAACTGTTGGATCTAATAACATCCAGTTAAGGAAGCAGAGACATGGCAAAGAGATCAGTTCAAAAGGGCCACAACTTGGGAGTTCTTACACAGTAGAGGCTGGTGGGACAGGAGCACCCCTGCCTGCTCTGAAACGTCAAGTTCACCTACTCCTCTAGCAACCTCTATGTCTGGTGCCAGCTGGGTGAAGAGCTAGATGACAGGGCACAGGCAGGAGCATGGGTGGTACCCAGGGACAGGATGCTGGTCTGTAGGGGGAGCCACATCCAAGAAGGGATTCTTCAGCTGGGGCAAAGCCTAAAACTTTGCGGGTGCTTCATTGGGGGATTCAAATTTACAACAAAATCTTTCTTCCAACCCCTGCCTCCCGCAATGGAGCTTTCTTTAACAGGAATGGTACCAATAAGAAAAGGATACTTGCTGCGATATCAACCACTGAAAAGAAAAAGAAAAAAGGATTAATTCTCAGCCAAATACTGGATGCCCGCTTAACTGGCTCTACTTCGGGGTTTACACAGGTTGTCCTATCACCAAAAGGTGCAGGTGTTCAGTTAAGTGGGAAGGTGGCCTGCTTGGCCTGAAAGGGTAGGCTCATTTTCCCTGCAATCCCATCACCAGAGTGCTCCTGGGGGAGAGAGAATGAGTACCTGTGGGATCCCTTACGGACAGGAATTTTCTGTCCTGCCAGCCCCCAAAGTCAGATTCAGAGCCCCCTCCTATCACAGCAGAGATGCTTCAGGAGGACGAGTGCTGAGAGCCCCCGTGTACCACTCATTGCAATTCATGGACAGTCGGCAAATCATGACACAGGAATCAATTGCAACTGGAGAGTGGATTGGGAGGTGTCAGTCCTTCCTGGAGAAGTGACATTTAAAAGATGCTTGGAAATGAGCAAAGCTAGCCTCAGAGTGGAGGTGGGAGTGCTCTTGAGAAGGACTGCTGTGGGTAAATATGGCCAGATGGTGGCAGGGACGGCTCTAAGACCTGAGCTCCCTGTCCTACCCTCTGCCGGCACACGCATCAGCACAGGGTTCAAATAACATGCTCCCGCTTGGGGACTGCTGTGCCCTGCAGCTCCACGTTCCAACAGGAGGCGATGGTCAGGACGTGTATGGGCCAGTCCGCCACATGAAGTACACCAACCATGCTCTGTCAGACCACCTAGGACCCAAGCATACGCCAGACACTGTTCTGGCCCATCCACTCAGCCTACAGAAATTCACAGAGCCTTGCCAATTCAATTCCTGGCAGGAAGATCTGGAGCTGAAGAGAAGACCCTGATTCACCATGCTCTGTGGGAGAACAGTGTGTGTGGGGGGGTATGATGCTTGGGGTTGGGCCTTAAAAGGCGAGGGTGTAGAAAGTGAGGGGGGCAGTTGTCCCTAGGCAAAGAGGGAGTAGGAGGTACTCGGGGCAGAGGAAAGCCCACGAAAAAGGCAGACGTCCAGGAAGGTTTGGCTGGAAGGCCTGATGGATCTCTGTGCCATCCATGTGGGAGCACTGCCAATGGGTGAAAATGCCCCAGTATCACTCCCAGGGCCTTTCTTGGTCAGAGGCACAGAACAGAAGCACCCTATCAGATCTGGGTTTTAAGAGTACCTAGAAGCAGCAAAGAGAATGTGAAGGGAGGAAGAGGGTCCATGGAGCTGCTGGTCTTAGGCCTAAAGATGCCTCTGGGCCAAGGGTGAATGGTGGCCCAGAAAGTCAGAGGCAGCGAGAGCCTTAGAGCTGCCGGAGATCAGCTGCCTGCAAAACATAGGTGGGCCAGGAGGGGGCGCCGTGGGAAAGGGAGAGAGAAACAGAGCTTAAAACCTCCAGCACCATGGGGCTCCTGACAGACACACATTCATGTGCACACATGCAGGGCCCAGGCAAAAGGCACTCTGCAGCCTGCCTAAGTGTCCGCTCCCAAACCCCCACTGTGGCAGGGACAGGAGGGGTTCAGGGTCCTGGGGGGGGGCGGAGGCAGGACCAGGTTCAGCCACATGGGTGATGTCAATGGAGCCCGTAAATAGAGAAGTCAGGGTGTGCTTATTTACTGAAACCACCCATCCCCACGGTGACGTTCAGTGCAGGGAGAGAAGCTCCCGAAGACCACCAGCTGGAAGAAGGGAAACCAGTGGAGGAAACTGTGTGACTGGAGACAGGGTTGGGCAGGGAGAGCTGCAAGACTGGTCCTGTGTCAGGGCAAGTCAGTCACTTTCCCAGGACTGTCAGTCAGACAAACAAAAGACTTCACTTCTGTATCGTTGTAACACTTGCAACATAAATACACAAACCAGAAATATGGACACATCAGAAAATATATCTCACAATTAGATACATGGAACACCTTACCTAAGGTGACTACTTTATTCAAAGTTGCCACCTGATCTTTATGTTTTACTACGCAATGCTAAAAAATAGCTTTTATGTCTCCTTCCTCCTGATGGGAAAGAAGCCAAAGTGAGAGCTCACCACTACTGGGCAGCCTGCAGCTGCGGGGCAGGGATACAAACTAACCCTTGAGAAGTTCCTGGGGTTACCTTGGGTCTCTCAGGGGGAGGTAAGGGTCACGACAGTGCCAGCACAAGCCCTGAGGGGTGGTGGGCGTGAATGAGCCCATCTCTCATGCCTGGAAGACCATCCAGGACTGTGTGTTTCAAGGCTTCTTGTGCCTCAAAATCAAAATAATTGTTGTTTTTAAAATCAGGTTTTTAAACCACCAAAATGTGCAGAAATAGTTATTAACCACAACTCCTTTCGGATGCAAGCACAGCACTTAGGAGCCAGCCTGCCTCCTTCTGCTGTGTGACCTTGACTATGAGAAGTTGGAAGTGGTCCCTACCTCATGGGTTTGTTCGGGGATCGAATGAGATAGTGTCCCTCAGAAGACCACATGTGGAGCCTGGCATGTAGAAGGTGACAACAATACTTCCATGATTTCCAAGCAGGAACAGGAAGAAATCAGGGGTTGAAGGGGAGGCAGAGGGGTGAGTTGGTGGAACCGTGAAGGGATGGTTCCTAGACAGATTTCACATCCTGAAGTCAGGGGAGGCTCAGAGAGTTAGTGAAGAAAATAGAAATGAAAACAGGAGGAAGCATGGATCACTCTTCCCTGAAAATGCTTAATGCCAAGTTCTGCAGATACAGCTTCGGCACAAGGTTTTGCTCCCAGCGATGGGACATGGAATTTGGCAGGACATGATGCTGAGCAATTAAAGATCTGCTCCAGCCACACCTGTTGATGAAAGGCCCAGAACTCAGCCCTTTCGGGCCTTAAGAAGAGAAAGGGAAGCATTTAATCACTTGCTGAGAAAGTAAACCAGAGATTCTCAGGTTAAATCTGGAAGAGGAATTAAAAAGCATCTGGATGGCACAGTTGGGAGCGGCTTTCTAAGTCAGGGAGCAAAACCACCACTGACAAGCAGCTCCATTCCAAACCCAAAGAGAAAGCAAACGTGGCACCAACAAGGATACCGCAGTCAAAGCAACCAGTGTATAAAGGAAGACAACCTGGATTATAGAAAACTGAGAACAGGGGCGCCTGGGTGGCTCAGTGGGTTAACGCCTCTGCCTTCGGCTCAGGTCATGATCCCAGTGTCCTGGGATCGAGCCCCGCATCGGGCTCTCTGCTCCGCGGGGAGCCTGCTTCCTCCTCTCTCTCTCTGCCTGCCTCTCTGCCTGCTTGTGATCTCTGTCTGTCAAATAAATAAATAAAATCTTAAAAAAAAAAATAGAAAATTGAGAACAATTCATCGCAGCAAAGTAGCACTTCCTCCTCTGTGGCTTTCAAATTCGCGAAGTCTAAGATGATGATGCATTTTCTAGGCCAAGGGATCAAGAGGAATGTGATCAAAAGTTTAGTTAACAGGGTATTGATACACATCTTAGTACAGACACGCAGGTTCTCTTGATTCCACGGAGGACGTGCAAATGACTACAACGGAACTGTCTGCTGGAACCACAGTGTGAAAATAAGGCAAGAGAAGACTGAAAATGCACACAGGCACAGGTATGCAGCAAGAGAAAAGCCAAGGTGAAAACGACATGAAAAGGAACACAATATGAAAGAAGCTACAGAAGAGAGCTTCACAAATTCTCTAGCCAAGAGATTTCTGAGTAAAGCGACATCTCTTACAACCATGAACTATTTACTCCAGGAGTCCCAGAGCAGCCAAGAATTCTGATGACACACACACACCATTGCCAAAACCATAATCTAAAAGGAGAGACTCTCAGGTGGAGCGTCCAGCCATGCGCCACAACAGCTACAGGAGTTGCTGAGCAGACCCAGGGAATCAAGAAGCCAGCAGGTGATCCAAAGGCCTACAGAGGCAGGAACCAGAGAGACCAACAGCTTTGACCTCAGAGAAAGCTGCTGAGCCAACGGAGAAACATCCTTCATACCTCTGATGGAAACACTTAACAGATAATTCTTTCAAAGTTGGTAGAACTGATGAAGCTGATTGGTAAGTATAAAGATTATTCTTTTTTTTTTTAAGATTTTTTTTTATTTATTTGAGAGACAGAGAGTGAGTGAGTGAGAGAGGGGCAAAGGGGCGGGGAGGTGCAGAGGGAGAGGGAGAAGCAGACTCCCCACTAAGCAGGGACCCTGATATAGGGCTTGATCCTGGGAATCCAGGATAATGACCTGAGCGGAAGGCAGAAGCTTAACCAACTGAGCCATCCAGGCACACCCCAAATACATTATATACTTTAATATACTCCTACAATGTTTACAAATGTGGCTGAGGCAGTTAGACACTGACAGAAAGCAAACAGAGGGTAAATAATCAAGTCTTATATTTAAAAAAGTGGTTACTGGGGCACCTGGGTGGCTCAGTGGGTTAAGCCTCTGCCTTCGGCTCAGGTCATGATCTCAGGAATTCAGCCTCGTGTCAGGTTCTCTGCTCAGCGGGGAGCCTGCTCCGCTCCCCCCCACCCGCCTCTCTGCCTACTTGTGATTTCTATGTGTCAAATAAATAAATAAATAAATAGAAATCTTTAAAAAAAAAAAAAAGTGCTTACTAAGGAGGCTGGGGATTTCTCAACAGAGAAAAACAAAAGACATGAAAATAACAGGGAAGCCAAATGTGATACTAAGTTCAGAGACCCATTAAAAGTTTTACCTAGAACACTCATAAGTTACAGAAAATTAGTTCAGAAAAGAACAGCACAAGGAATGATCCAGGAGAAAATAGTTACAAAATACTTAAGACTCATTTACGTTAAAAAAAAAAAAAAAAAAGTAGAACATGCAACTATTGATTTCACATCGTGAGATTAGAGTCCCATGTTGGAGGTAGAGTTTATTTAAAAGAAAAAAAATGCTTTTTGATGCTTTGGTTTGGCGCCCTAAAAAGAAATTGGAACCTCTTTTGCTCTTCAGGACTAGAAACAAAACACTTCTAAAAGTAGAACATATTAATGATTTTTTGTTGAGCGAGTCTGGGAAAGGAACCAATAAAAGTTGACAGTAGCCTGATTGGGGGAAAATCAAAGGACTAACAAAGAATGAAGATTCAAGAAACACACTTGTGTTGCAACACAATGGAAGATTACATACAACTGCAGAAGAAAAACAGCACCGAGAACAGCACTTTAACTGAAATCTGGACAAATTCCCAGCTGCGGATGCAACTGACAGAAAGGAAGGGATTTCCAAGTATAACATTAGTGTGAGCTCAGAGGGGACCTTGTGGCTCTGTGGGAAACCCCACAAGATTGAGGGTTCTGTAAAATCAAGGGAAGACATTTCACAAGCATAAGAGATTAAATTATGGGTCCAAAAGCCCAGCGGCTACAAGGAAGCAATCTGAGGCATGGCTGCTTCCTCTCTACAGCACCGGGTGGGCAAAATGGGACAATAACACAGCAAACAGGAACCACTGCTAGAAAAAGACTGAATGACCCCCAAGATGAGGGAAGGAGGGGAAGGATATATTGTGAATCCAGAGAAGAGAGTGATTCAGAACCACTCTTCACTGAAGGCACAGGGCTACCAGGCCAGAGCAGTCAGCCTCCAGCATGCCCACACCCAGGAGAGTCTGGAGCTTCATCTGATCTCTCCCTCAACACTGCCTAGGAGAGACTGTACACCAACTGGTCACAGCTCAGGCATTCCTTGGGATCGACCTGACACCTTGAGTCATTTTCCAGGTTCGCTTTCTCCATCCCATTCAGGCCTGCTCAAGTGTCACTCTTACAAATAGATTTCACTACCTTTGCCCAAAAAAGCACCATCTCTTCACCCTGGACCGTATTTTCCATGGTTCTTCTATCATGGCCTACCCTTTTACTACATATTTTAGTAATTTGTCTCTTTCACAGGAAAACATAAACTCACATTAACAGGGACTATTTTAGTCATCACGGATCTACGGCACCTAGAATAGAGCTTAGCACCTGGTAACCAGAGCTGAATAAGTATCTGCTGAATGAATAAAATGAAAAAATTCATTAAAACAATAATGACTTATTGTCTAGGCATTGAAGCTGGAGATCCTGAGCCCAGGTTTGAGCCAGTTTTGTTAATAACTTGATGTGTAGCTTTAGGCAAATCACTTCATCTCTCGGGACCCCTACTGCCTCACCCCTAAAACAAGGAAGGTGATCAAGCAAGGACTGAAGACCCCTTCCAACTCTACATTCTGCAAAACAAACATTTGATATCCTTCCAAAGGCAACTCACTACTGGCCACAGGTGGACTGGGATTTACCTCAGATCAATACATTTCAAAAACTTAAGTTGATTCTTTTTAAGAAATCAGTTAAGTCAAATAAAGCTGGGTAAATGACAAATGGGGGCCTGGTCTGATGGGAGCACAATGTTGCTGTGACAAGAAACAACACCAAGGGCAGAAGGGTGACAATGACAGCCACTTTCCCACATTCTTTGAAGCACCAAGATCCACAAGTCAAGTTGGGGGGGATCGGGTCTCTCTTCTGAAGGGGAGAGAGGAATGAATGATTGGAGGAGGAGAAGTCACCAGGGATACAGAGAGAGCAGGGGCTTGGAGATCCCCCCCATTCCACCCCATCGAACCAAGTGGTCCTGGAACCTAGGCCCCCCTCAGTGCTGCCTTAGAGGATTTTAACCTCTTCTCTCTGAACCTCAGCCTGACACCTATGACACCCTCCATCAGTGATAGGGGCACAATACCCTCCAGACACTTAACAGACTTCCAGGTCCAGGGAGAGAAGCCCTTCTTAGATTTCCTGAGAGCCCAAACTTCAGATTCTCAAGGGATGCCTGTACTGTCACCCTGACGCTCTCCTATCCTGAGTCACGTCAGGAGGGAGCGTTCAGGCTGATGCTCCAGGGGCTGAGCCCTGAGGAACTGGAAGCTGCAGATCCCACTGGCCGATCTGGTGGCCTTCCCTAAGGTGCCAACAGATGATATGCTCCTGAAATCCTGAAGAATTTGGGGGCCTTGTTGCTCCTGATTAAGAGACAACTCTCGAGTACCCTGAGCGGGGTCCTGGGACCTTGCCTGTCACCAGAGACATTAAGTAAGGTACAGAGAGAGGTCTTTGGGGTCCCTGAGAGGCTGGCGGTTTCGGGGTCCTGCTGCCCATGCGGAAGTCGCGCCCCAGGTCCCCGAAGAGAGGCCAGGCGGCCCCTGCCCGCTGGGGTCGCAGTCCGTCAGGCCAGGCCCCGAAAAGAGCCCGCGCCTCCTCCCTCGCGGCCGGGTCCGCGCTCACCGCCTTCTCCAGGTGGCTGCGCGCCTGCTCGCTGTTCTTGGTGTGGTGGTAGAGCACGGAACCGAGCTGCAAGTGCGTGCGGGCCTCGATGCGCTGCGGGGGCTTGAAGGGGAACACGGCCTGCAGGCAGTGCACACACAAGCGGATCTTGGGAGGGCTGGAAGTTCGGAAGTGCTCGGCGAAACCCAGAAGCGCCAGGTACCAAGACTCGGCCGCCTCCGCCTGCGCTGCCTGGGCCGCCGCCGCCTGGGCCGCCGCCGCCGCTTGAGCCGCCATTTTGGCCTCCACAACAACAAGCCGCCGCCACAGGGAGGCGGAAGCAGGCGCGCGGGGCGGGGCCGGGGAACCCTTCTCACGTCTCTCGCGATAGCTGCCGCATAAAGCATTCTGGAACATGTAGTTCGTCTTTGGAGTGGCCGCGGCTCCGGGGAAGTGTGCGAAAAGTCGGTGCCCTGTGACCCACGGGACTGAGAACAGACATTGCAAATAGGCTGGGGTTTGTTTTTCTTGGGGAAAGATTCCAGGTATCAACTCAGTGGCCGGACTTGCTTGGGGGACACGGACTACATCTCCCATCAGGCCATGCGCACTATAACAAGCCTTTTCAAGTGGAACCGAAGCATTGTGGGATTGTATGAGTCTCAAGATGGACAACCGGGATGTTGCAGGTAACAGCCCCCGCCTCCCTTGAAGTGCCCGCCTGGGTCAGCGGGGCTACGCGTCGCGGTTTTGTCTTCCCATCGGGTCTTCCCCGACCCACGGGCCCCTCGCCTCAGCCCCTAGGGCTTCCCGAAGGGGAGGCTTCTGCATCTTCCCCGTCTCCCGAGACCCCAGACCCAGTTGCTGCCCCCACCGCCGGGTTTGCTGTGGGCGCCTGGTGTTCCATAAGGGCCGCCCCTGGGTGGGCCCTGCTCTCCCTTTCCCGAATTATCGCCTTCAGGACTGTTCAGAGCTCTGTTCCCCGAAACAGCAGCAACCTTGGGCTGTCCTGCGCCCCTCTGTTCGTAGCAGCTGTGGTCTGGCCTGTGTCCACTTTGCGAAAAAGCTGCTTTTTCGAACTGCTCTAGCACCCTCTCTACACACTTTCTTGGTCTTTTGAGCCCCCACTTTACCACAGGTCTTGCCCTTCACTCTCTCCTAGCCCTAGCGGCCCCCCGCCCCCAAGACTGGGATGCATTCATTCAGCACATACTGTGTGCTAGGCACTATGCTAGGCGCTGGGGATGCAGTGGTAATCCAAAAGGGTCCTACTTTCCTGAAGGTTATTTTCTACTGGGCCGTCAGACAATGCACCCAGAGGAAGTATTTACAAAGACACAGGTTATAATGATGTGAGAGAATGGGGGTGGAGGCTGCTGATACTGGGTGGTGAAGGAAGGCCTTTTAGGCAGAAGACGGCAGCTATGGGAAGGCGTGGAGGGCAGAGCTCTGCCCTCCAGGCCTTCCCACACAGAGGGGTGACAGCCAGTGCAAAGTCTTTGGGGTGTGATGGGCTTGTCATTTTGAAGAATGTCAAGAATGAAGTGGAAGTGAGAAGGGGAGTCTTTTCTGACAGGGCCCTGAAAATCAACTTTCAGAATTTGGATTTTAGTCTAAGTCCCATGAGGAACCTTTGAGGTGTCTTCTCCATCTTTACACTTCCCACCTTCATCTTAAGACACCATCATCCTCCAAGGCACCACCCAAGCCTCCTTGTTGGTCTTCTTGCTGCCACCATGCACTCGACAATTAGTATCCAGAATGATCTTTAAAATACTGTTTGTCAGCTTAATACTCCTCTGTTCCTCCATAGAGCCCTTAAAGTAAAACCTCGACTCCTCCATCTTGCACCCCCCACTTTCATTCTTTAAACAGTCCATTCTGGCCACAGTGGGCCCTTGCTGGTCCTTGCATATACCAGCCTTCTTTTTGCCTTAGGTTTTTTTTTTTTTTTTTTTAAGATATTTTTAAATTTCTTTGACAGAGAGAGACACACAGAGAGAGGTAACACAAGCAGGGGGAGTGGGAGAGGGAGAAGCAGGCTTCCTGCTGAGTGGGGAGCCCGATGCGGAGTTCGATTCCAGGACTCTGGGATCATGACCTGAGCTGAAGGCAGCCGCTTAACTACTGGGCCACCTAGCGCCTCATGCTTTAGGTTTTTGCAACTGCTTATTCTGCCCAGATAGCTCCCCAGGTGGCTTTTCAGGAGGCTGGCCCTTTATCTTTCTGGTTTCAGCTTAAATGTCTTCTCTTCTAACAGTTATTTTCTGGTTGCCCTAGCTGTATAGGTGTGCATCTATCATTCTTCTAATCCCTTTTTTGGTTTCTAGCAAAGCGCTCTTAGTACAATTTTACAGCTGCTTTTTGGGTGTAGGTCTATTGCCTTCTTTGCCCAAGGTGAGACCCACATTGGCAGAGATCCCTTCTCTGGTTGAACTGAGCACCTGGTACATTAGCTCAGTAAATATTCATGGAATAAATCAAGAAGTTGACATTTGAATGTCAGTTGGTGCAGGCAGCCGCAACTGTGCTGCTCCTGTAGCAGCTGCTGTACATGTATGTGGAGCAAAGATGATTTCTGATCTGAGTTTTTCTCCTCAGGAAAGGCTAACCGGTGGTTTGGGGTTGCTCCTCCCAAGTCCGGAAAAATGAACATGAACATCCTTCACCAGGAAGAGCTCATTGCTCAGAAGAAACGTGAAATTGAAGCCAAAATGGAGCAGAAAGCCAAGCAGAATCAGGTGGTCATCAGCCCTCAGCCCCCACATCCTGGCGAGTAAGTTCCCCCTGCAGCTGGGCTGGGGTCTTAGAGGGTCACTGGCAGAGGGTTTTGCGTTCAAGGGCAGTCTGGGTATTCTTGCACCTGGCCACAACCTGGTGATGCAAGGAGTGACACAGATGCTCTGTTTCAGAAGGCTCAGGTGGCAAGAGAGAAACAGGTGTCATGTGGGAGCTCAGAGGATGGCCTGCTTATATTCACCAGTTATTTACTGCTGACCAGCTGTGGGCTAGGGGCCAGGGATGTAGCTCGGAACAAAACCCCAGACTCCCATCTCTACCCTTTTGGGGCTCATGGTCTACTAGCGAAGAGGGTGCCAGTTCTACCCCCAGAGCTGCCAGTGGGTAACATGAGGCAGTGTGTTCCCTGGTGCAGGAGCCACTGTGGGGGCCCAGCAGAGGCTCTCCGTTCTCAGAGCCAGCCCACTGAGGAAGCAGGGAAAGACCTATCTAGTAGAAGGCAGGAAGGAAAGAGAGCCCTCGTGTGTCAGGCGGCTCAAGCTGTTGCATCAAAGTGGTTGTTTCAAAGCCAAGCAGGAGGAGGAAAAATGCTCAGGGCACCCAAGAGTTTTGAGCAGGGCTGTTGTAATTAGGATGACGAGATCCAAGAATTTCAGTGTGGAGATTGACAGTCAGAGAGGCAGGCCCCTTCCTCTGGGGTCTGAAGCGTGGAGTATGTTAAACCCTCTACAGAGCTGTCTCAGCTCCCACCTTTTCTAAGAGTCTGTGGCACGTCATTGAGGGCAGGACTTAGACCTTATTCTTTTTTTTTTTTTTTTAAGATTTTATTTATTTATTTGACAGAGATCACAAGTAGGCAGAGAAGCAGGCAGAGAGAGGAGGAAGCAGGCTCCCCGCTGAGCAGGGAGCCCTATGCGGAGCTCAATCCCGGGACCCTGAGATCATGACCTGAGCCGAAGACAGAGGCTTTAACCCTCTGAGCCACCCAGGCGCCCCATGGACTTAGACCTTATTCTTAACGGGAACTCAGAGCCTGGGATCTCCAAGGCACTTATGAATGTGGGGACTGGATATGGAGTGATCTGTCAGTCAGTGGGCTTGTGGCTCTTACCCTAGGGTTATAGAAGGACTTGCACAAGGTGGGAGAGATCTATAGACATGGTTCCAAGTAGGTCTCCTGGAAGCAGCTGGATCCCAGCAACAGCATCAGGCAGGTGGATGCATGATACAGGTAGCTTTGGAAATAAGGTTATTTCTTTAACTGTAAAAGCATAGAACAACAAGTGTTAGAATTTCTCACTGAAGAAATAAACATTCAAGTTGCCTCAAGGCAACCATTTTGCTAACCCTAACCCTAACCTCGTGTCTTTGCTTTGTTTCACAAAGTTATGGTCCATTTCATGTGCTACTTCTCCCTCAACTTTTTATTTTATTTATTTTTAAAAGATTTTATTTATTTATTTGACAGAGAGAGACACGATGAGAGAGGGAACGCAAGCAGGGGGAGTGGGAGAGGGAGAAGCAGGCTTCCTGCCAAGTAGGGAGCCCAATGTGGGGCTTGATCCCAGGATTCTGGGCTCACAACCTGAGCCGAAGGTAGACACTTAACAACTGAGCCACCCGGGCACCCCATTCCCCTCAACTTTTTAAAAGAAAAGCTTTTCCCTGGATCGCAACTCTTTAGAACCATTGTAATTTTTAAGTTTTATTCTTACTAAGATATAATTAATATGTCATAAAGTTGGTCTTTAAGATTTTATTTATTTATTTGACAGATAGATCACAAGTAGGCAGAGAGGCAGGCAGAGAGAGGAAGGGAAGCCAGGCTCCCTGCTGAGCAGAGAGCCCGATGCGGGGTTCGATCCCAGGACCCTGAGATCATGACCTGAGCTGAAGGCAGAGGCTTTAACCCACTGAGCCACCCAGGCGCCCCGGGTCTTTTAAACTATACAATTTAGTGATTTTTTGGTAAATTCACGATGTCATGCAACCATCACCAATATCTAGTTCTAGAACATTTGTGTCATCCCAAAAGGAAACTCAGTACCCATTTGCATTCACTCCCTATTTCCTCCTTCCCCAGCCCCTGCCAGCCCCTAATTTACCGTCTTTGTGGATTGATCTATCCTACATATTTTAAACATTTGGCCTTTTATGCCTGGCTTCTTTCACTGGACAGGATGCTTTCAAGGTTCATCACTTTTTAGAAAGCGTCAGGACTTCATTCCTTTTCATGGCCAAATAATATTCTACTGTGTGGCTGGACCATTTGTTGTTTATCCTTTTATCAGGAGCCAGAATTTTTTTTTTTTTTTTAAGATTTTTATTTATTTGACAGATCACAAGTAGGCAGAGAGGCAGGCAGAGAGAGAGAGAGGGGAGGAGGAGGCAGGCTCCCTGCTGACCAGAGAGCCCGATGTGAGGCTCTGAGGCTCGATCCCAGGATCCTGGGATCATGATCTGAGCCAAAGGCAGAGGTCTTAACCACTGAACCACCCAGGCGCCCCAGGAGTCAGAATTTTTAAAAGCTGTGTAATATCTCTTACCATCTGTTAATGGGTGGTTTTCAGGTGAGATTCATTTGCTGCTT